TTTCTATTGCACTCTACTCTGATTAACAGCACTTTTCTATTGCACTCTACTCTAAATTTTCTGACTATCTCTCACTGAAATGGCCCAGTTTAGTCACTTTGCTTGATCCTGGCTCTGGTTGGTTCTTATTGCTCTCTGGTTTCTTCTGCATGTTTGTGCTGCTCTTAAGGATTAGTTTGTAGAAGCTGAGCTTGGAATCATGAAGGATCAGAACTTAAACGAGGATGTGATGAAGATCCTGGAAGAAGCTCCTAATGCCAGAAAAGCTCTGAGGGAAAACTACGACAATCTGCTCAATGTGGCCGACTACTGCTACAACAACTACATACAGGTACTAATCAGGAGCTAGTCTTGTTCTAAGCTAGGCTAACAGCTTCCCTTTGCCTCCAGCCCTTGTGCCAAGCTAACCATGATGTGTCTCTGTCAGGGTGGTGAGGGCAGTGTGAAGGCGTTGGAAGAAACAAAAAAGTTCACCGCCCAATCGCTGGCCAGCGTCGCTTACCAGATAAGCACTCTGGCCAGTAGCGTCCTGAGTCTGCTTGATGCCCAGACCAATCAGCTTCGCCACATGGAGTCGTCTATCAACCTGATTGGTCAGGTAGGCCCCACCCAGTCCACGGTGCTGATTGATGGTTAAAATAAGACGGGGGTCTTGAACTGCAGGCCTCGAGGGCCGGTGTCCTGCAGGTTTAGATGTGTCCTTGATCCATCACAGCTGATTTAAATGGCTAAATGACCTCACATGTATAAAGCTCTCCAGAGGCTGGTAATGAACCAATCATGTGATTCAGGTGTGTTGACCCAGGGTGGGATCTAAACCCTGCAGGACACCGGCCCTCGAGGCCTGGAGTTCAAGACCCCTGAAATGAGAGATCCTGTTTTCAGGATAAGAGTGTAAGCATGATGTAAAGGTCCTGATTAGAGTCTGAAGCTCCTGACCTTTGACCCTCGCAGTGTTGTGGTTTTCACCTTAGGCAGAAAACACAAAGTCTACGCCGCAGGGGGCGCCGCAGGGGGCGCCGCAGAGAGGAGGGGCTGTTTTTTTTTTCCAAACAGAGGGTTTGGTTTTCTATTTTGGAACAAAGGCTACGTTCACTCAGAGATGGAGAAAGATAAGGAAGAAGGACAGGACAGGAAGCAGAGAGCTAAGGCTACGTTCACTCTGCAGGTCTTGATGCTCAATTCTGATTTTTTGATCAAATCCGATTTTTTTGTCTGCTCGTTCACACTACAAATAAAATGTGACAGCAAACGCGCTCTAGTGTGAACGCTCAAAGCGGCCGCATGCGCAAAAGAAGACGTCACACACAACGCGCTCTGTTTAGACCCAGAGCAACAGTATTGTTTGACTGATGGCCTTAATATAAAGACTTCGGACTTCACGTTTCCCAATTTTTGCTTTAAGTTATTTTGTTATTTACATAATAATGTAAATAACCTAATAATGATCCTTATTGCTGTTTTAGAGGAGCGCTGCTTCAAAGGATAGCTGCAGATTTCTGTCAGAATCTGCAGATTTCTGTCAGAATCTGCAGATTATACAGTACAAATAAAATGTTCACGTTTCTCCAACGTTGTCTTCCCAACAGTTTCACTAACATCTACACCGGATGGTCAGGAAGCGTTCGCGATGTCTTCTCCGGCGCTGATAATCGGCGTCTGTCTTGTGTCAGTGACGTAAAAGACGGATTTAATGCGACATGACCATCAAACAGCAGCTTTCTGAAACATCAGATTTGTATCGGATTCAGCACCACATACGAAAGTGACCCAGATCGGATTTGAAAATATTGGATTTGAGCCATTCACACTGTCACACCATGATGGATATGAGCCGCAGAGGGTCAGAAAAGTCGGATTTGATGCGCTTTAGCCTGCAGTGTGATCGCAGCCAAAGTGGTCAGGCAAATGACAATATTGAAACTATCATATCACAAACTATCGTTTATGAAAACCTGGAAGAGTTTTAAAAGAAAAAGCTAAACCTGATTATTTACCCTCTGAACAACTGAGCTCGGGGTCACAGTCGGTATAAGTGATGGACGGCTCCTCTGTGTCTGTAAAAACAAGCCGATGCTGAAGCAGCTGGATAGTGTAGTGATGAGACCACACACCTTTGGAGAAGAAGTTGCAAGTTCGATTCCCTTCTAGTATCCAGTAAGGGCCCTGCCCAGGCTCCCCATGCCAAACACCAATCCCTGAAATTGCGTGGCGACGTATGCAGCCTTTCCGCAGCTCGGACACGACACATTTCACTGCATGTTGTACTCTATGTGAGTACACCTGCATTTTCTCTAATGTCCAGCAGGGGAACACTACTCTGAAGTCTGCTTTTATAGAAGTATATGGGAGCCTCACCTGATTCTGAGCTCAGTGTTTGCCGACAGTTTCACGTTTCAGGTCCTTCAGAATAAACGTGAAGTCCATGTTGTAAATGCCGGTTTTTCGAAGAGTCAGATCCCACGGTAGCAGAGCACCGGAGACCTATCCAGGCTCCATCCTGCCTCTCACCCTGCGATGGGTAGAGGCTAACAGTATCCGGTCGTTAAGTGATGACGTGACGAATCCTACTTGCGGGCCTAAAGTAGTCTGCGTTCAATATGATTTTGTATTGTTAACATGTTTAATATTTTGTATTTTCTTCTATTTAATCTCAAAAAGCTCCTAAAACAGTCAGTGATCACTGTTGACCTCCCTCGGCTTTTATTACCGCTAATCATTTATTTAAGCTCAGTTTTTAAAACCTTAG